TTCGATGCGCCTGGGCAGGCCCTTCACCAAGTCCAGCAAGCTCACTCGTGCCGGCTCCCACTGCTCCCGCGCGTCCTCGAGCCTAACCTCCCGTGTCTGCCGACGCCACCGCGGCTGGCCAGGGAGATCGTAGCCGCCCACCGGCCGCGTGAATGTCAACGGAAAAGCTTGGCTCAAATACTGCGCCCGAAACTGGTCTTGCAGCGCACTACCCCTATGAATCTCTAGGGTGTGATACCTGCCTAGCACTTGGGCATGTTCCCGGTGCGCGGACGTGCTCCCCGGGCCCGAGTTCTCTGCCACGAACGTCAGCGGCCTCATTGCCGCACACATCGCATCTATGTCCGTCGCGTTTTCCGCTGGCGCCGCGACCTTGTCTTCTATCAAAGAGGCCCCTTGCAGCCTCTCCCGACGCGCTGCCTGCGTCGCTTCCCGTACAGCCTGCGGAACAAAAGGGCCGTTCCCGTACCTGCGACCATACACTTCCTCCATACGAGCAGCCACCGCCTCTGCGCCGTTGTCTGCGCTCTCGTAGCCGGGAAAGCCTGCAGAGCGCAAGTAGTTGATCAAGGCCAACACGACGTCGACGCGCAAGGTAACACGACGTCGACGCGCATACGTACTCAGCGTCGTGCCCAACTATGTGAACGTGCACCAATCTCGCCAGCTCTTCCTCGCCTCGGGGCACCGTCCTTTGCAAGTTTTCGCACTGCGCTTGAATTTGCTGCCATGGCAGCAAGAAAGAGAACAAGTTTCCTCGCGACGCGGTCCGCGCTCTGGGGCCTCGCATGTGTTCCAGCTGCAAGTGGCCGAACGGCGCTTCTAAGTAGTACACCAGCATCGACGTCCAGATCGTTGACGCAGCTGCGACCTCAAGCCACGTTACCTCCTCGGACAGCAACATCCGCGGCACGTACCCGTAGAAATGATCGTTGGCGAGCGCCATGGCAATCGGTGTTTCTTGCGCGCCTTGCGCGCTTTTTTCCGCGCTTGCCTGCGTTTCAACCCGGGCGCGCCATGGTCGGCTGCATGCGTCTATGCAGCTTTGACACAGCGGTATCTCGCAGACCTCGCAGACCCGCAACGCACCAGCGCCCGCGCGCCGACACCGCGCGTCGCGCAGATGCGGCAACGCGCAGCGTACGTCTTCCGTGACGCCGAGTAAAACCACGGCTTCTTGGCGCGGACCTAGCCCCTGCACGAGCGCTGCCCACTCCCACAGCATGGCCAGTTCCGGATCTGCGCCGACATCCCTATACAGCTAATGCCCGCTGGTTGTCGGACCAAGTCGCCCTTTCGAGACCGTCGCAGCGGACCTCGCGCGGTCGTGTGCACCTGCCCACACACGAAGCACACCAGCGCCTGCACCTCTGCGTCGCACGCCGCTTCCGCTAGCCGCCGCAGGACGCGCCGCGTCACGGCCGCACCGACGCACGGTACTTTGCGCCGCTCAAGCAGGGCCACGGCCGCCGCGACCATGTCGCCATGACACATCGGCGACACATACTGCGCGCTGACTGCCGCTACAGCTTTCGCGTGAGGCCCTTCTGCGCCCTCCACATGCTGCAAGAAAACGCCTTCGTCGTCCGTCTCAAACACGCAGCCCGCGAAAGGACACGAAAAGAGAGGCAAGCGAATAAACTCCGACATCATGTCTTGCGCGGAAACCGTGCCCGAGCTGGGCAACGTTGGATTGCTGCGCATCTGCGCAGCTAGCAGCTCCACACCTTAGCTGGCCAATCCCTGAGTTTGCCTTCCAACCTTTACCAAAAAAAAAGCTTGCGTTTCAACTTTACTTCAGCCTTTCGCTAACCTTTCCACAACAATTGCTCATAAAAGCCAAGGGGCTTGCAGCCCACACATCTTGTTCACTACCACACGGGCCCGGACGCTTGCACGCAACCTCTAGCCAAACTTCTTCTGGCCGGCAATCGCCTGCTGAAGACACTTCGCTTGCCGAACTCCCGCCGTCGTCCGACGCTGCGTCCATGTCTGCGCCGGCAAAATCTGACGTTGCATTCGCCTCGGGGGGCTGCTGCGGAGCTGCGACTCCGCAGTCACCGCCCGCGCACTCCGGCTCGCAGCCTGGCACCGAAGCTTCTGCCGTCTGCCTGCTGCCTGCCGCCGCCTCTAGACCTGCCACAGCGCCCGCATCGAGTTCGCTGTCAGGCTGCATCTCCTCCAGCGAACACATGTTAGGCAGCCCTTGTAACACGTCCCGCGGCAGTAGGGCGTCGTAGTGCACGCCGACGCCTATATTGCTCACGTGGTTGAACATTCGCAGCTCCCTCCGAGTCCGTGGATCCTGCTGGGCTTCAACCAGCATCACAGCTGCTTCTTCAGGTCGAATGTCCTCGCTGTCAAACCGCGTGTACACGACTAACTGCCACTCCTCAGCCAAAGCGACGGGTACGCGAAACGAATCCAAGAAAAAGGTGAATGCGAGAGGCGCGTGCATGTCACTTTGAAGATACGCCTGCGCGTGTTCCTCGTCAGTCGCAGCGAGCACACGACCCTGTGCGTCTCGCTGCTTTGGCCGAAGTCGTTCTTCGACGGACTGCGTCAAGTGCTGCCTGCAGCGAGAACATGCGCGGCTGCGGGCCACGCTATCGCGGAGCAGCGCTTTGTCAAGCAAGCCTGCTCCCGACATGCACAAAAGCAGTGCATCCAAAAGGCAGTTGTTCCTGCCGTGCGCCGAACTCGGGCATAACTGCAAGCCTGCCGCAGCAAGCTCTTCAATGCGCGCCTCGTTGGTTTTCAAGCATTGCGGTGCGTTCGCCGCATGGATGCGCAGGAACCGCTCGACCACGGCAGCACAAGACTCTGCAGACTCTTCTTGCGCATCCAGCCAACCACGCCAAGTGCTCACCCAGTCTTGTTCCAGTAACCGTTGCACTTTGTGCCGCTGAGCCTATGGCCTCAAGAAGTATGCGTGCCGCGAATGGTGGTACTTGCATGGGCGCCGATCCTGCGAAGTTCGGATTGTTGCTCTTGTTGTTGCGCTTGTTGTTGTTGCTGTTGTTGCTCTTGTTCTTGCTATTGTTGTTGTTTTCTTGTTGTTGTCGTCGTTGTTCTTGTTGTTGTTGTTGTTGTTGTTGTTGTTGTTGTTGTTGTTGTTGTTGTTGTTGTTGTTGTTGTTGTTGTTGTTGTTGTTGTTGTTGTTGTTGTCGTTGTTGTTGTTGTTGTTGTTGTTGCTGTTGTTGCTGTTGTTGCTGTTGTTGCTGTTGTTGCTGTTGCTGCTGTTGCTGCTGTTGCTGCTGTTGCCGTGCCAGTTACTGTGCCTGTTTCTCGTTCTGGGACTGCGCAGCTTGTTTCTGCGGCTTGAGCCTCCGAGACACTGCCCGTGTCACAACTGCAACGCCGACGCATCTCCATGCCCAGTTTCCGAGCCCAACTGGGGCTCTGCGACGCAGAACTTTTTTCACGTGAAACATCACGCCATCAAGTGTCCGGACGTACTGGCGAGTTTGCGACAAGCGAAACACTGGCAGCACGGCATCTGTTTCACGTGCTACCGACCATTCCGTGGTCGTGGTTTAGCGCACGCCGAGCACGGTGGGTACGCGCATGCCAAACACAGCGTGCCTGCTCGCTACTGTCCTCGCTTGCCGCTTTGGCCGCGAGCGCCTTGCATGCAGGCACGGTGGGTTCGCGCGCCCTTCTTAAAAGCCTGCACAGGCACGCGTGTCTCGCACGCGCGACATTGTTGCTCTGCTAGCTGCAAGTGTTCGGTCACTTGCTCACACACGACGCACCGCATCCAACTGAGCTCCTGTCGTCACGGACGAGCGCGTTCCTCTCCCATGCACTCCTTTTGGTCGCGCAACAGAACGCCATCTTGCCCCGTTCCGTACCCTGGGGCCGGCACCGCGCTCGCGGACCGATGGTCTTGTCCCGATCCGTGGCCTGGGACAAGTGCAACCTGCCGCAACGCGCGCCCTGCCCCGGTCCGTGGCCTGGGGCAGGCACCGCGCTCGCAGTGCGAAGATCGTGTCCCGATCCGTGGCCTGGGACACGCACACTCTGCTGGTACACGCGCCTTGCCCCGGTCCGTGGCCTGGGGCAGGCACCGCGCTCGACGTCCGAAGATCCTCTCCCGATCCGTGGCCTGGAACAACTAGAACCTGCCGCAACGCGCGCCCTGCGCCGGTCTGTGGCCTGGGACAGGCACCGCGCTCGCCGTCCGAAGATCGCGTCCCGATCCGTGGCCTGGGACAAGCACACTCGGCTGGAACGCGCGCCCTGCCCCGGTCCGTGGCCTGGGGCAGGCACCGCGCTCGCGGTCCGAAAGTCTTCTCCCGAACCGTGGCCTGGGACAAGTACAATCTGCCGCAACGTGCGCCCTGCCCCGGTCCGTGGCCTGAGGCAGGCACCGCGCTCGCCGTCCGAAGCTCGTGTCCCGCTCCGTGGCCTGGGACACGCACACTCTGCTGGAACGCGCGCCTTGCCCCGGTCCGTGGCCTGGGGCAGGCACCGTGCTCGCAGTTCGAAGATCTTGTCCCGATCCGTGGCCTGGGACAAGTGCAACCTGCCTGCCCCGGTCCGTGGCCTGGGGCAGGTCCCGCGCTCGCAATCCGAACTCTGACTTGTTGGTCGTGGCCCAGGACGAATTACATCTAGTCTCCGAAGCATGCGATATGAACCCGTGCTACTTTTTACTCATAAGCTTCCGTCGCGCTTCCACAAAGCTTCCGCGGACCAACCCTACACTGAGTTGCTGGTAACCTAGGCTATAACCCACTTATCAACTCTGCGGTTAACCTTGTTAGAGTATGACATACCCCAAGCGGCTGACCGCTTGACTGCTCGAGTCGAACACCCAACACTGGATTTCGGTGTTCCTGACCCTTCCCTCAAACTAGGCTGGGCCGAGGCGGGCAACGCGAAGCGTTTACAATAAAACACTCTCACACACACACACATCACAGAAATTGCGAAAACAAAACTCATCACCACCCCACCGGCCCAGCCACAGCACCATCATGCCTCATCCAAGGCGCTAAGGCCATGCACTGCCTTTACACAGGGGTTGGCCTGCAGGAGGTCTTGGTCAGCCGCCCGCAGATCTTGGATCGTCACCTCAGGCCATGTCCATACGACCGCTCCCTTGCATCTTGGTGGAGCTGTCAAACACCTGAAGGTCTGAATGCCCATGGCTCATAGAAGCTTATACTCCCCCCCCAATACTCCCCCCCCCCCAAAATGGCTAAGGTTTTGCACATTTCAGGAAATATAATGAATAAGCCTTATTTAACGGTTATTTTGGAAGGTTGACCGTTGGCCCTTCAATAAGGTTTATTTGTGGCTTATTTTGGGTGATTGAAAATAAGCCTTATTTAGCCTTATTTAGATCTTATTTGCCTCGATGATGCTTTGTCCAGGGCTCTTGCGGCAACGTGGCCTGGGAGTGCTCAAATAAGCCTTATTTAAAGTTATGCTTGATGAAACTGAGTTGGCTTCTTGCAATTGTTTGGTAGGGTTTTGCCGTGATTGCCCGCCAGGCCATATCCTGAGGCTTTTCAGCTCAACAATAATGAGCCAGATTGACTTAGGCGAGGAAACCCCCTCAAATTGGCCCCGAACACACACATTTGTGTGAGGTATGAATGCAGCAATTTGCCTCCAAATGCAAACATTGGCAAACATAAGCATCGAATAAGCTTCAAATAAGCACCAAATAAGCATTCTGATGCATATATGCAGCAATTTGGTGTTAAATACAAACATTGGCAAAAATAAGCATCGAATAAGCTTCAAATAGGCACCAAATGAGGAATTTGCTGCATACATGCAGCAATTTGGCTTCAAATGGAAACAACTTGCAGAAATAAGCATCGAATAAGCATCAAATAAGCACCAAATAAGCATTTTGCTGCATATATGCAGCAATTTACGTCCAAATCGAAACATTTGCCCAAAAAACACCGAATAAGCATCAAATAAGCACCAAATAAGGATTTTGCCGCATATATGCAGCAATTTGGCTCCAAATCCAAACATTGGCAAACATAAGCATCGAATAAGCATCAAATAAGCACCAAATATGCAGCAATTTGGTGTTGAATGCAAACATTGGCAAAAATAAGCATCGAATAAGCTTCAAATAGCTGCATACATGCAAGCAATTTGGTGTTGAATACAAACATTGGCAAACATAAGCAAGCACCAAATAAGGATTTTGCTGCATATATGCAGCAATTTTGCTGCAAATACAAACAATGCAAAAATAAGCATCGAATAAGCATCAAATAAGCACCAAATAAGCATTTTGCTGCATATATGCAGCAATTTGGTGTTGAATACAAGCATTGGCAAAAATAAGCATCGAATAAGCATCAACTAAGCACCAAATGAGGGTGTTGCCCATGTATGCAGCAATTCTGTAAGCATCCAATAAGCACCAAATAAGGATTTGCTGCGTATATGCATTCCTTTCGCCCAAACTACAGCTTCGACAACGCTCAAAATAAGCACGAAAATGCTTTCGCTGTTTGTACGCAGGGCAAATAGACAGAGTCAGCGCTGCCAAAAGACACAGAACAAACCCGAGCAGGTCTGACCCTAGTCACTGGTTGGACCAACAATCCAAGCGACCAGCCCCTTATTTAGGCTATCCTTTCATCCCTGTAATTTTTGCAACTCGGGAACACCCCCCAAACATATCCTTATTCATGGTGTATTTTTGCCTGGCAGGCAGCGCGCCATGGATTCTTGCCCGAAACTCATTTCCCTTAGCCGTTTTTTTTTTGGGGGGGGGGAGTGTTGGGGGGGGTATAGTCTTCTATGAATGGTGGCTCAATGGCATAGCACAGAAAGGTCTGAACTGTTGGTGGAGTGTTTCCCAGGCACGACCTTCCCAAACAGCATGTCGAGCACTTGCTCCAAGTGTCCAAACAAGCGCTCGAGATCCAAACAGCCAATGCCGCCAACGCACTGGCAGCTGCCTGCACACATCCAGCGCCCGCTTGCAAAGCTGCAGCGCCTCTGGGGCCGAATTTTGTCCGGTGCAACTCCAAGGCTTTGGCTTCCAGGCAGTTCTGCTTCGAAGCCAACAAGAGGAGTTCCCCCGAATGTTTGACCCGCAAATAGGCAGTCAGCTTGTTGTGGCTTGTTTCTACCAGGACAAGAGGCTTGAAAGCTTCTGCGATCCTTCCATGTTGAATGTTAATTTTGAATTGAAATGCTCATGTGCGTTCTGCCAGGAATGAAAAAAGTGAAGGTTTGGAGTTGTGGTGGTGGAGTTTTGTCGCCAGCTCGGATTCGCTTCGGCGATCTTAATTGTTGGAACGATGCAGACAGAGATTAGCATGGCCACTGCGCAAGGATGACACGCACAAATCGAGAGTGCAACATTGTTTTGAGTTGACAAGCTTGCACGGCTGCGCGGATCCCGAGAGGTCGAAGTCTCGATGCGTAGATGCCGTGGTGTTGCGACGTGTTGTTAGGTTGAAAGCCGAGCAGTAAGGTAACGTGCCCACCTAACCTGCGTTTGTCGTGCAACAGGACCTGTTGGGCCTATTGCTCACTCGCTGACCGGATTTCCTTTGAACCGACTTCCACACCAATTGTCAGGGGCCGTGCCCGCTGATGTCCACTAAAAGCTGCGTCTGCAATTCATGCCCTGCCTTCCTCACATCACCCGAGTGGCCAGCAACACGCGCAGCACAATACTTGAGTGTGTCATTGGTGAAGGTGTCCAGCGCCTCCAGTCCAGGCAGAAAGATGAGTGACCCCGCAAAACAGCCTTCCAGCTTGATCAATGCTCCCATTTAAGCACGGGCGAGAATGGCCTTCGTGCAGTTCACATGCGAGTTGTGGGCTAGGCTTTGGTATTCGACCTCTGTCATGGACCCTAGAACATTGGATTGAGCGCCAACCCCAATCACCGCCGCCGATGTCTGACAGGCAGCCTTGTAAACCTCAAGGCGTTTCCGGAGGATCTCATGGATCTGGTCTCGCCTCGGTACAAACAAGGCCTGAGGATGGTGAAGGTGGATTGTCTTGGAACACAAAGCCCCTCTCACCTGCGCCCACACACACACACATATATGCCCACTCCACCATGTGTTGCTCCTCAGAGCAGCTGGATGGCCATTGGTAGGGGTGATGATGACAATGACAACGACGAACGAACTAAACTAAACTGAACTCAACTGAACTGAACCTGAACTGAACTGAACTGAACTAACGAATGAATGAATTAATTAATGAATGAATGACATAATGACAGAGTGACAGAGTGACTGAGTGACTGGATGACTGCATGACTGAGTGAATGAGTAAATGAAGAAAAAATGGATAACCGATGATTAAAATCATGACCATGGTTCGCTGCCACGAGGACAAGCATGCCTATAACTCAAAAGTTCCCCGTTCCTGTGTTATTGGGCCGTATCAACCCAAACGTTAGTACAATGTGCAAACCTGGTCATTGCCAAACATCTTGATCCACTGTCCTTGCCATCTGTACCCCATGCTATGGCTCTGATTCCTCCGAGCCACGTGTAGGTTCGAAAGTCCACACGGTCGAAACCCAGCCGCGTGCTGACTTTGGGGAGAAGCCGCTCAGGCAAATCGATGTTGTTGGAAATTGCCACCATCACCTCAAACCAAAGGCGATCATCGCCGAGAATTAAACAACTCGAGTCCTCGTGGAATGCAACAAGATATGGCAAACAAAGCGCTTCTCTCACAAATTGGTTCTGCCTGCCCACGCTCCAATCTCAGTTTCCTGGCACCGTAATGGCTGGCCTGCGTACGAGGCAGCTCCATGAAGCAGCTTTTCAGCCGGGGCCAGCTAAGTCCGGCACAAGATGGGGCTTTGGCAGCATGATCAGGCTCAAGATGCGGTAAAGGATGGCCTGAAAATGGCTATGCGCCTCTGACTCCATGGGCGAGGGTTCTTTCATGCCTGAGTATCAACAAAGTCTCAGTGAGTTGACTTTCCGGCCTCGCCTGGTTTCGCGTTGCCAAGCAGTCCAGCTCGTCCTTGGCATATTTTCCTCCCTGCCCCTCTGGCCACATGGCACTGCTCGCGCATCACGGGTGCCGAGTGGAACGAGCTATGCCTTTGGGTTGGCGGGGAAAAAACGCCACGCACCAATGCAGCCAAGGTTCGATTAGAAGAACCACGACCTGCGTGAGGCAACCAGTTTGCCAGGGCTTCTGCAGCTGCCTGTGTGAGCTCTTTCAACCACGAATGAAGTAGATCTATGTACTTGGCATGCAACTCATTCCCACTTTCCTGCCGGCTCTCCTGTCCGGTCTCTCTCTCTCTCCTTTGCGCCTGCTGGGTTGCGCGGTGGAGGAAAAAGCCTTCGACCTGGCCCCGCCCCGAAACTGCTTGTCAGGTAGAGTTGGACCAGCGCAGCGCCGAGTCTTGGAGTTTCATTGCCGCCGAACTTGCCTAAGGTTTTACAGTAGGGACTGGGGAGTGATTTCCCACCTTTCCATACCTTTCCCCTGCCTGTTCAAGAAGGCATGTTGCACCATTTGTGTTATAGGGCGAACCCCAGTACAACACCAAAACCCTTGGAGACAAGAATGCAAGCGGGGCCGCTTGGCCTGCTTCTCGGCAGCTGCGGCGGAGCAACGCTCCTGGGCCAAGCCTGAAACATTTCCACAAAGGAAGCACGCCTAGATTCATCACGGGAAAGTGTGGTCAATTGGCCATGGGTCAAAACCCCGTACCCCCAGTGAACATACCAATGCCCACTAAAATAGACTAAAATGGGTGGTGCACCTATCCCAAAATGGTACCATTGGTTTTGATCCATGGCCAATTCATGCGCCTTGGAAAGTCGGGATTTGACCTATCCAGTTTGGTAATCAGTACACGGCCCAGTTTCTGCAGGAGGCGGGAATTTGACGGTGAAGCATGGGTTCTTTGTTGTTGTTGGTGGCCTTTTGCTCGTCGTAACACAGTAATCGGGCACACTGAGAAGAACCAAGCAACTATGTTTTATATGTCTTGCACAAGTGCGTTAGAAATACTTTATGAGTATATGGTCGCGCCTGCTTCCCGCAGCTGCCGCCAAACTTCGCCAAAGACCGCCTCAAGTGTCAAGCAATGCGTAGGGCAGGGGGAGCTACCGGAACAGGTCCCAAGTGGGAGCTCGCTCCGTTTCCCCACCCGTTCCTTGTTGCCCCACTGACACGGTGCTCGCTGGCCCATTGGAACACCAAGGGGGAACGAGGGAGAGGCAAAGTGTGGCTGCATGTCAGGCTTTGGGCTGCGTGCCAAGAGGCAGACGGCTTCCCTAGGCACATGGCGTTGATGTGCACGAAGGCGAATTTCCTTTGCTGAGCCGAGGCGGGCCCAAAGGAAGTGACAGAACGACCACCTTCCAATAATGAATGCATCCTTCCAGGGACTGGTTGCAGGGGTTATCCTCATAATTCTCACTCAGAACTGGGAGTAAAGCGAGTCGGGTTTTCACGGCCAAGCGAGCCACTGCAAGCTGGGCGGCTGCTTCAACTGGGCCTCCACTTGCAGCACGGAGGCGGTTTTGCCGGTGCCCGGCATGCCGGAGATGTATAGCACCTCTACACATTCGTCGCCAGAGGTCACCCGTTAATTGCTTGTGTGGCCAAGGCGAAAAAAGGCGAAAAGCCACTTGTGACCCAAAGTCTATAAAGTGCGTGGAACAAAAAATATGGGCTAGCTCCAGCTGGGTGCCCACCGACGTGACCGCCGTTGGCCGCCCTGCCTTCTTGGACCCTCCCTGGCGGATCGCCGCGCTGAGGTGGTTGAACAACTGGCCAAAGCGCAAAGGCCGGAGCAACGGAGAATCTTTCAGTGGGGCAGACCTTGCGTGCCCTGCTGACTCACTTACAGCAACCTGACCGAACTGCAGCTCTGGAACATGTCTCCGGTCAAGTGTTGTTCGGCCGTGCCAAGCTGCAAAGGAAAAGCCTCGACAGCCAGATCTTTACAATTTCAATGTCGCCTGAGCCACGTCAAGCAAGCAGCAGCTCTTGCTGATTCTGTACACGTTGAGACTTTGCACCAAACAAAACAAACAAGAAACCCCCAAGGCCCAAAGGACCTTCAAGGGGCCTGAGCTATTTGTGCCTTTGAGATCCTTCGAGCGTCGGTGGCCATTGGCTTGTCAACTCCTGTTGCTCACCCCAGTAAGCACTTGCAAATAAACAGTCAGCGCCCTGACGCCCGGCGCCTCACTCTGCTGCTGCTCCCGGCAAGGCATGGTGCCCAGGACTGCGGGCGACATGGCCATTCGGGCGCGCGAGATCCTGAGCGATTCGAATCGGGCCGGCCGCACAAACTTGGTGGTGGCCTTCTGCCTGCATCGAGCCTTCCCAAGCTGAACTTGAGGCAAAGCGCTCCGGCAGCTGTGCCAGCCCCTGCCAGGGAAGGCTAGGTGTTCAGCCGAGTGCTATATCCCACGTCAAAGGTTGGATTCTTGAGGCGTGAGGGTTGCTCTTCTTCTTGTCAAACATGATGCGCTCGGCTCCATGGAGGAAAGCTGGCGGCTAACTGAAGCTTACACATGTGATCCCAGGCCTTCTTGTCCTCGGAAAATGGATTCACCTTTGGCAATTCGAATCTCTGCCCTTCAAGCCCTGCATGCCACCGAATCCACATTATAGAATAATGCTATTGCGTGGTCGGTTCACTGGCTGAGTGACTGACTGACTGGCGCTGAGTGACAGAAGGCACAGGAGTGGAGAGCAGGGCAGGATGGGGAAGCGGGGGGCGAAACAGCGTGCGGCGCACTGATCAGGCTGATGGTCGAGTCAGCTTGGATCAGATGGGATGAGCTCATTCATGGATTGATGGGATTGCTTGCTGCTACATTGATGCAAACGAGTGGCCGGCTGAAACTCTGATCGCCTTCGGGGATCGCCCCCCTTGCCGTGGATGCGCATCTGGGCGAAGTGCGCCTTGCTGTGGGCGATGCGGGCGATCCTCGTCTTGCCGCGGATGCGTCTTCCAGTGGCTGCGACCTGCGTCTTCCCATGGATGCGCCTGCCACGAGCAGTCGGTTCACGGCATCTGGGAATGCCAAGGCGCTCTTTCGGGTTGCCACATGGGGCTCAGGAGTGCATACATTGAAAAACATGGCTTGGCAACTACAAGCTCACAGCATGTTGCGGGGCATCCATTTGCAACAAGGGCGGCCTAGAGGTCTAACAGTCAGAGATGCCGGGGGTGGAAGCAGCATATGTTTGATTCACACTGCCCTAGTTGCCTCAAAACACTCAGCGCGTTGAATAGCGCACACTTGGGTGCAATCTGAAGCGTCAAGGGCCGCCCATATTCTTCTGTAAGCACGCCATAGTCAGCCTGAGTCTGTAAGAGTACTGTGGCAAACAGCACTGGGCTGAGTCTTGCCCGTTGCTACAGACTGCATCCCTGCCTGACGACTGCAGGCGCAAAACCTGGGCCAATCTGGGGCGAGCAGGCAAGCAGAAGGAAGGCCAGTCATGCCAGTTGCGGCCTTCACAGGAAAGGGGGTTTCCTTTGCCTTGACCTCAACGCTGCCATGGCTGCAACAATTATCGCCAAGTTCCTTGGCCGCATGTCCGGTGCCACTGCGGCCCATGACAGCTGCCCACAAACATCGCATCTGCAACATCAGTGCTGCCAATCAACAAGTGCTTAATGCGACAGCGTCCGAGCTGAGCATGACTCTCACTTGCCTCTTGCTGCATCCGAAAAAGCTTGCTTGAGACCAAGAAGCCCGGCTGCTTCCGCTTACCAGCCATGGCCTAGCTGTGAGACACTGGGGCCCTTTAAACATGCGCCGGCCTGTCATGACATAACACGATACTTCGTTGCCTGGCCAAGACGAGTATCATTTTTTTGCTCGGGCTCGACGCTTCAAATGCGTCCAAGCCTGCCTTTTGTCACACAGCCCCAATTCGACCCTAAGTGCACTGTTGACACGCGCAAAGCAAAGAACGTCCACGTGTATCCATGCAGGACTCATGCGCAGTACGTGTTGGAATTCGAGGCTGGTTTGCTCAAGGCTGCAAAGAGCAAGCGCGAAATGGGCGACTGACCGGGCAAGGGGCACAAACATATGAAGAAAGTGACTCGTTTCTAACCAGGGCTCTGCAAAGAACCACTCTCGCTCTCACGCGCCTCGCCGGCCATGGGGCTCAGCTTCTACTTGAGCCACTCAATGCCCAACACGTGCCGTCCAAATGGATTATACAGTGCCAACCTCACGTCACAAGTGCGGCTTGCAGGCTGCTGTGCGCAAATTGTCCTGGCAAAGCCCATGTCGCTAGCCCGAAGGGAAATTCAAATATCCCTTGCTGTGATACCAAAGTCACCCATCCGCTGTAACTACCTTATCATTACAAAGATGGTGTCCTTCAAATGACGAGAGCCGGCCCAAAAACCACTTCTTCAATGCCCATGGAACACAGGAGTCCGGCCACGGCTCCAGGCCCTGCCTGGGTCTGGCCTCCTGTGCTGCACGCACCGCCTGCAGCAACTGGTGGAAGCCAGGAACCGCTCCCTGGCGAGTTGAGCGTTTGATGGACAGCTTCCTTTTTGTGGATTCAACAATGCATCGTGACAAACATATTGCAAATCCTTGCACGCCAATGAAAACTAGGGCCTTAGGGGACCCCTCACAATTGGACAGCTGCGCTGGCTTTGGAACTCGAGCTGTGGGGCGCCTTTGCTGCTTCTGACTTGTGCGCGGCTGCGCCCTGCCTTGAACCGCTGAGCGACGAGGTAGCGCCTGAGTCTCACATGAGCCCTGTCCTTGACGGAACCAATCCGCGAGGAACTGACGTAACTCAACAAAGGACATCGCACAAAATAGTGGAATGTGCCACCCCCTCGCTTGAAGCACCTTTTTCACTCGGCAACTTCAGCCGTATACTTCTCGAAGGGCTTCAGCATCGATGCTTCTCCGGCAAGCCAATCCTGGCGCACCGGTCGGTAACACCACCCCACTCCCCAATAACTTGAAAATCTCTGCAAGTGAACCTGGGGACCTGGGTGGTCGGATTACCTATCCAGGCCTCTGGCAATCACTGCCTTACCCACCTCTCTTTGCCCAGTTGCTTTGATATGCAATTTCTAGCTCCCATATGAGAAAGGTCAAGCTGGGCAAATTCTGAGTTCTGTGCTCTCCTGTGCCTCCGCACGTGCGCAACACAACTGCTGGCACCAGTACCCAACAAGCCCAGGCAGAATTGGCATGCTTAATGGCAGTCACGGCAGCAATGCAGGAAAGACTTTGCATAGTGAATTTGGAGGCGCCCTTACGACACACAAACAAACGTTCTTTTTGCAAGGGAACACGAGGGCATGCCTCAACATAAGAAACTCAAACAAACAATAGTTCCATGTTGGCTTCCATTCTTTGAAGCCATCCGGCTGAACTCCTGCCAAGAGCGGGAACACCTCACAATGATTCGCACATGACATGTTTCTCAAACCGAAGCGGCCATCCCAAGATGCCAAAACTTACTTTTCCCAACGCTGCCCGCGTACAGGGCTTCAAGCCTGGGTCATCAGCTGGACACCCGACAAACAAACACACGCAAATGGCTCAGCCGATCGAAGCAAACTGCCGGGGCCTGCCAGTGGCTCCGGGAGACCTCATCCAGTGGCTTCAGGCCTTCCATGGCCTGGCGCAGGTCCGCCGGCAGAGGCGTGACCAGCTCCTGGCGCTGGACCGTGGCCATCCAGTGTGGTCCGGACGTGTCCGCTGCCCCCCTGCCTATGTCATACAAGTACTACATATCCAATCTAAAATCCAATATGTGTGTGCGCGCGTGCGCGTCTGGCTTCCAATAGCCGTCTGGCATGCCGAACTCGCGGCCATGCTCCAGCCCAACCTAGCACTGTTGGAGTGGGTCGAGTCATGTCCAAGTTCATGTGCCATACAGCAGCCATTTAGTTGTGCCTAGCTTAGCGTCTGCCATATGCGGGTCCTGCACGTCTCCGAAGCCCGTGCTTGCAAGCTCCTTCTCCGTTGGCAGGTCCCGGAACCTCACTCATCACGTACCAAGCTGGCGATGCAATCGGACTTGAGTCTTGTCGCTCACAGATTGAAAGCAATCGTCTCCGCTTCTACTTTGAAAGTACTCCCAATGCTTCGTTTGCATGAGATCATGGTGGCAGCGGAAGCCATGTCTGCGAAGGCGTCATGCTAAAATACTTGCAAACCGAATGCAAAGGGCTAAATGAGAACTCTGCTGCACATAACATCCTGCAGGCTGATTCGCCGACACAAACGAACGAAGTGCACCCTCGCAGGCGGTCCACCCCACCCTCCCCTCATTCAGAGGTTGCCTAACCAGCGCTGGCGATAATTAAGAGGTTGGCCTGGCAAGCTGCCTGCTGGGCTGCCCTTGCAACTCTTTGAACACATGCGCCGCATGTCTCAGGTAACAGCTCACCTGGCCAATCTGACGATATCCGGAGAGGAAACATCCAACCACACCTGTCAGCAGGCAAACCCTCAATCAGTCAAACTGACTTCTATTGATTTCTAGATAGACGCCATGCACCTGTTTTCAGGAACGTATCCTGAAGACCCTGCCGGAACTGCACACACCGCTAGGTGCAGGCCAGTTGGCGCCAGTCGGTAGGTGTGCAGAAAGTTGCGTGGGCACCAGGCCCTATCCGTGGTCAGCCTCTCCTCCGCATATTTGGCGTCCTTAATCCAGTGCAGCTGTACAAAGCATACGAAGCATAGCCATGGTATCAACAACCTACGTTGAGGGTGCAAAACAGCCCACTTGGTCCTGACGGCTTGGCTGCCAAGTTGAGCCACACACATTGCGCCTAAAGCGGCTACAGTGCAGGCATAGTGGCGGTAACGAGCGGGTGGCCAATCGAGAGCATGTGCACTCCTCAGGTAGCGGATGGCATTCGCACATTTTGCTGACTTGAAGCTCCTCTGCGATCTCTCAGCTGGTCTTCAAAGCCTGAGAAAAACACACAAGCTACAACGTGGATTGCGGATTGCCTCCTGGGCATGGTGAAGCAACAAGGGCACCGCAACCTTCGCAAGCATGAGTATGGCCAAAAGCACCAAGTCGGGAACTAGTCAACGGCCACAAAGTTTGCTGATCTGCTGGCGGCAAAACATTGCACAGTGCAGCCTGCAAGCACGAAGGCCACAAGACCAATGCATGTGTCAAAAGGTACTTCACAGTCTCATGGCCCACTTCGTATCGTCAACTGTGTCGGCCGCCTACACAAACCGGAGGTGTTTCTGAATTTCCTCTGGCGTCGGATTTGGTGGGTGCGGCCCGTGTGGAGCTTGATCGCCACCAGGGAGTACCGCTCCCCGTCCGGGCCCTCCAGGTGCGACAGCGGGAACAGCTCCTCAAGTGCGACTGTGGGAGTGTTGTGCTGGGCGCTGGACATAAGCTTTCAGAACCAAATCTGCAAAGTTTCAGTATCAGTACTATATTTTTATGGTCAGCCCTCCCGTGATCTACCATTTGCTTTTTGAAGTTCTTTGAACAAGCTCTAATGTATTGACAGTAGGCATGTTTAATGCCAGCGTGTCATGGTGCTTATGAGTTGTAGACTGATGTTGAAGATGCAGAGTCATGAAAGTGCATGTGCAAACCCCCTAACCGAACTTTGGTCTCTGCGGGCATTCCACTGCAAGTATTTTCTCGTGTTTTACGCCTGCAAAGTAAAACAGGCACACTGTTTTTGTTCATTCTTGTTTGACATGTGCAACAATGAAACAAAGTACATTTGACCCTTCCAAATGTCCAAAACCCCAAGAGGAAAACCAAACAACTGTAAAAAGAACACTGCGAAACTAAGACACAAACACAATCTCTAAGGGAACATCTTTGCCTTCAGCCCCCAAACTTTGTTTGGTTTTCTGCAGGTGTTTTTTTGATTCTTGGACCCAGTTTCGCAGCATAACGCAACTCAAAGTTGCTTGATCCCGCCGTCTAAGCATGAGGAGGACATACTAAACTTCAAAACAAAGAGGAGAATACACAAACTTGAGAAAACCAACTAAACAAGTCTGGGGCTAAACCCAAAGAGTCTCCCTTAGAGTGTTGTTTTGTTACTTTTGGCTTTCCCAGTGTTTGTTGTTCTTTGGCACTGTCCCTCCCAAAAACCAAACACCTCAAGGCTTTGTGTTTTCCTTCCGGCACGTGCAGAAAAACCAACAAACAACGAGTTTATTGCACCGTCCCTCAACAAACAACCAAAAACCCAACAAGTGTTTTTGGGGTTTCCTCCAAAAAGGATGTTGAATAAGCACGTAGTAGAAGTCAAGCAGAATTCAGTAAGGTATGACATAATCGAATTAGAATGTAACTTGGAATTCAATCACTGTCATACATCATTGTAAGGCCCCGCGGGAGGACATGCAGCATATTCTTCAGTGGGATCGGCATTCACAAGGGGCGATGAAGGAAACAACCCAAAACATCTTACAACGTCAGTGCGTGTTGAGTGGTTCGTGCATGGATGCAACGCGCCCTGCAGGCCAGGACAGCCTCTGACCATCATGGCCCCAGCTCCCAACTGGAAGAAAGAAGGATCCCATCCCCATGCAAATGAACCTTGCACCTCAAGAATGGGTCCCACCAAACAATAATAAATGCCTCTGAACATGATGGATCGCTTAGTTTCACATCGCTTTTTTCCTTAAAGCATTTTGCTACCTGAAGGGAGGGATCATCGTATATATGGTCATGCCTCACACTGGCAGCCTGTCACATCACTCATCTTGAAGCTTCCTTCAGAGAAGCACCCAAGAAACCGTCCGGACAAAACAAACAGCTGTTGGGGATCGCCTTTCAGGAGCCCTTTGGGCAGTTAGTCTTTCTTAGCTTCCAGTTCTCGCCCAGGTGCCGTGAAGGATGGCTTGCCGTTGGGCCCAACCGTGCAGTGAGTGGAGATGGTCCGCCGGGAGTTGGGCGCTTTGCGCTTCTCCACACCTGAGACGGCCCGTTTGGCTTAAAGCAAATCTGCACGGACATCGCACCAATGCGTCCTACATTTCGGAGAGCAAGCCGTAGCATTTCGGGAAATGTGCCCAAAGGCGGTCTATTGATTGATGTCTTTATGGACTAGCTTGATGGCTGCCCGTGTGGGCCAAGTGCCCCATTGCACCTCAAAGGTCTGGCGGACGAATCAAAGGGCACTTTAAAAGAGACCTGAAAGGGGAAGGGAAGTGTCCTTTGACTTGTTGGGCTGCAACTCCCCATCCCTTTGTGTAAGTGCATCCCCTCCACGCAACAGCACGAAGCGCCGCATCTTTTTCTCACTGCAAACTGAGCCTTCATTCGTCGAAGCTCTCACTCCTCTTCGGCACCGCCTTTTTGGAGACCTTCGGGTCTTCGGCATGAGGAAAACTCCGTCGCTTGAAGCACAGGTGATCCCAGGCCGCAAAGGAACTAGCGGTGCTTCCCTTTGGCAAGCTTTGAAACTAAAATCCATTCCAGGCTTCGTGTTCCATCTATTTGGATTCTTCCCTGCCTCCTTGATGACTCCCACGCCGATGGTGCGCCCATGGTCCCGGATGGCGAAGCGGCCCAGGGGCGGGTAGGAACTGAAGGTCTCCACGCACACCAGCGCCCGCGGCCGCATCTTCACCGTGACCTCAGCTTCGGACAGGAAACCCTTGGTCCTTTGGTTTGAAGGTGAGCCAAGTTGAGAACATGGACAAAACAGGTGGTTGTTGCCAAATGGGGTTGTAAGAAAACCCCGTGACCTTTTAATTGACCCTCAACACCGTTATCGTTTTTCTTATCGTTTTGCAGGTAATCGGTGTTGGATCATAATTCTGTAGTAGTAGTAGTAGTAGTAGTAGTCGTAGTAGCAGCAGCAGCAGCAGCAGTAGTAGTAGTAGTTGTAGTAGTAGTAGTAGTAGTAGTAGTAGTCGTAGTAGTCGTAGAAGTAGTACTAACTTCTTATAAAGCTCTTTACAAAGTTTCTTCTAAAGCTTCTTCTAAAGCTTCTTCTAAGCTTCTTATAAAGCTTCTTATAAAGCTTCTTACGAAGCTTCTTATAAAGCTTCTTCTAAAGCTTCTTCTAAAGCTTCTTCTTCAGCTCCTTATAAAGCTTCTTATAAACCTTCTTTTGAAGCTTCTTCATAAATCTCCCTATAAAGCTTCTTCTAAAGGTTCCTATAAAGTTGCTTATATAGCTTCTTATATATATAGGGAGCTTTAAAAGTTTAGAAGAAGCTTTATAATACTAGTATTAATACAAGTACTAGTACTAGTACTAGTACTAGTACTAGTAGTAGTAGTAGTAGTAGTAGTAGTAGTAGTAGTAGTAGTAGTAGTAGTAGTAGTAGTATTACTGGTGCTAGTACTAGTACTAATACTAGTCCTAGTAGTAGCTGGTGGCGGCGGGAAAATTAATTTCCCCGGGCTTGACTTTTCAGACAAACTGCAGGTTGGAGTCCCCAAGAGTTAGGTTCCTTGAGCTGTTGTTGGCACTCGGTGTCTCTTTCAAACCTAGGCTGCCCAGGGCTTGTCAAAATTGTCACCCTTCAAAGGATCCAGCTTCTGATTTTTACCAAATCAAGCTCCTGGTGCGAGCGCCTGGGAGTGGTGAGAAACGAACTTCAAATAGCCCGCTGGGCCACCCAGGAAAACCATGAGAAAGCCATGCGGGAATCACGGGGAAATCAATGGAAATCATGGAAACCATGAGAAACCTATAGAAAACTCTTGGAAAACCACGCAAGCCCCATAGAGGGGAGGCTTCAGAACTCGCTAAGGCCCATGCCACCTCCCCAGACCTTGCACTGGCAGGCTTGGCCTCGGCGTCCTTGCCCGTCTTACGGTCCACTCGGCTGAGGAGCTCCTCGAACTCACAAGGCACCTGGAAGCCGATTGGCGGTTGACCCCCAGCACTTCCTTCGATTGACATTTCCGTGGGTGTGACGGGGTTTGCAGGTATCGCCGCCCTGTATCGATTGTTTTGTCGCTGGTCTACTGGCCGCACTCTTTGAAGGATAGTGATGGATTCCTGTGGCCCCCTTCCCCAGCTACTGGCAAGCAGCACCTAGGGCTTCACGCTGCTGTGCATGCAAACTCCAGCCTCCAGATGCGTAAGTAGACCCTCCAAGCTAGACAAAAGGCATTTGCTCAAGTGAGCACCTACAATTTCTCCAAGGATTGCCCAAACTTTCACAAGATCTAGAAGACCAACAGGTCAAGCCTTCTGGTCCTCAATGGGCCTCCCAAGAGGCCTCGTGAAACTGGGGGCTTCGGGCTGGATGCAGGCCACTCACAAAGGCACAGGCCACCTCTTGGCAAGGCAGAAGGGAACCAGCCATTTTCACAGGCCCTAAGTTTCAATCGCAGCGTCGAACGCAACCACCTTATTCTGATGCATAACCTCGATCTCGTCAGGCTGTTCCGTCGCAAAATAAAAAACATGTTTCGCTTTCCCGCTAAACATATGACGATGAGATTTGAACCACCCGAGATTGGCACCAAGGTCAGTGGAGCAACCCAAAGGGTGCCTTGTCAAATTCTGGATTTCTTGGGTTGGGAAAGACCGCGGACATTTGCTTGTTCTGGGACAGATGTATGTCACCTGTCCTTGCATGCATGGGGCAGCCGCACGCAATCCAAGGATGGTGGAATGCAACCAAGCTGAACTTGCAAACCTTCCCCGATTTTCCCCGGGCCTGGGTTGTGTGCACGGCGATGGCGGGACAGTAGCCCGCACGGATCTGCCCGGGGTGCTCGAAAACCACCACCTGACCAAACGTAAGATGTTTGAGCTTCACTTGGGCATACCTCAGAGGCCCTTCCACGGCTGCATCTGAAGCCAAAAGGAAGAACTTGCACTCGTACCACAACTTGCCTGTTCCAGCAACGCACTCTAAAGATCTTGAGTCAACGCACAAAGCTTCTCTTGGCACTTCGGCTGGTTACTGATCAGCTGGCTTCTTGTTCAAACAAACACGTCCACTCGCTCTTTGCGCGACACCTCTCTGTTTCCAGCAAAGTTGTCAACCAAAGGACATAGCTCTCCCGTGTTTGAATGTGTCAGCCTGGCCGTGCCTGTGCCAAGAAGGTCTCGGCATCGCTGGCAGGGTCCGTACTGCCGCTGATCACCATCCCTTTCCGCAGCTCTGACGCCTCCACTCCACCTCGAACGAGTTTGGCTTGTCGAGCTGGGAGGTTTGCAGCGAAAACGCCATCTCTCAGCAAATGCCGGGCAAGCCGTAAATACCCGTAAATCGGTGCACATCCGAATGCGATTGGCGCCTTCACAGAAAGACAGCTGCCACTTCTGGGACCCGATGAATCCACTACGGCCATCAGTTCGGGGAAACATACTGACCTACACAATCCAATGAAGGCCATCAAGCTGTACAAAGACAGGTCCATGAGCCTTGCCCAAAGGTGTCTGAAATAAACATGAAACAACAAATTACCGACCAGGAAAACACTGAATCCAAGCCAAGTCGCTAAGACTCACGCTCACCACCTCCCCTTCTCTGGCGTCTGAAGCCTTGACGCCTGCCTTGTGCACGGATTTAACTTCCGCAACAAGGCCGCCAGGCGCGAAAATGACCTTGATGCCGGGTCTGATGGTCCCGGTCTCTACGCGACCTATAACTACTGGTCCAGCCTCTGGCTGGTCATGCACTTTCAGCACTGGCAATCTCAGTGGCTTCTCCTTGGCTCGGAATTCGGAACGCCCGCAGGTTTGCAAAGAAGAATCCTTTCATCAGAGCATTCTCCCTTGCACAGGGGGCTCCATCCAACTATATGGAGGGTCAACGCTACAGCCAGTAAGCAGGTCAGCCCGCCCTAGCCCACCCCCACCCAAACGGCCACATATATGCCCTGTGCGCCTGGAGATCGGCCAAAGCCCACAAATCCAGATTTGCACCCCCAATCGTTCCAGAGACAGCCTGCACGTGCACAACTCTTATCAGGCTTGTTGGCTTCTGCCGGGACTCGGCCGGCCGGTTCATCTCCCCCAGGGCGTCCAGGGATTCCAAGGCGGAGTGGCCGGCGTACCACGGCATCTCGGTGGACTTGGCGTTCAAATTTTGCCCCGAAAGGCCGGCTATGGGCACAACCGGCACATCCTGCAAAGAAACATCCATGAACACGTGCGAGCTAGCTCTTCTTTAGTGGGCTTGTCTGAAAACAAGAAACCCCACAAAGGGTGGTTTTTTCTTTGGCTTCCCTTTGAAGCAACCAAGAAAAAACTATCTGACATACTACCCCCGGCCCCCAGTCAATACAGTGAGACATACTATAACCATTCCAAAATAGATCAAACAATGTCAGTGCGGTGCGTCCCGCTACATTGGTTCAGTCCTTCAGCTTGTAGCCTACGTCCTTCAGGAAGGCTGGCACCGCCTTCTTTATCTCATCATATCTGGACTGGCTGAACTGCACGGTGAAGTCATCCATTTTGGTGACCCACACTACGACGTTCCTGGGCCAAGCTGGGCAACCCGGACCCCTCTCGCACCACAGTTGTTTGAAAGCTTGTTCGCCCTGGTGACGCAGGATGACCAGAATGCTGCAAGCCGAGCAGCTTGATGCCCATGGTGAAACTATCCAGCGCCAACTCCTGAACATCTGCTTGAGGGCCCGATGCGTCCACCCCGCGTCTCTTGACTCAGAGGCCCCCCTCGGCCCATGGCCGGTCCGGTCCTTGACTCTGCCGCTCTCCGCGGCCAGCTCCCACTCCCCGGCCGCCGCCGACACCACCAGCACCGCCACGTCGGCCAGGGAGGCAGCGCTCAGGAACTTGGCCGCCAGGGCCTTCCGGCGAGGGGTGTGTGGGTGTCTGGGAGGTGGGGGGGGATGGGTGCAAAGAGCTGCTTATGAGATGCTTGCTCAAAGAAATGCTTGAGGAAG